ATAAACAGTGGTAAATAAACACACAAAAAGATGACTAACATTATAAAAAGGGAGATACAAAATAAAACTATAATGACATGGTACTACATACCTGTTCAAATGGCAAAAAAATGAAAATACAGTTTCAAGCGCTGGAAAGGGTGTGGAAAACTGGACCTTTATGTATGACTAGTGGGAATGCAAAATGGTATAGCTACTTTGAAAGATTGTTAGTTTCTTAAAATTAAGTATCAAATTACATATAACTCAACATTACCATTCTTAGATATCAACCCAAGAGAAATAAAACCTATCTATTCAAGAACTACAAGCAAATATTTATTAGCATCCCAAACTAGAAGCCACTTAGAATGTCCTTCATATGGTGAATGGATTAACATTATGTACATTTGTAGAAAATGGTCTAGGGAATGTTCTGTATGATGCCTATAGATCCTATGAAAATCAGGATTGAAGTGTGTTCTGTTCATACAAGAGAATATAATTCACAATAAAAAGGAATGAGCTCTTCAAATTATATATACTTTATCACTCCCATTTATATGTCTGAAAAAAGCAGAATTGTAGCAGTGTGTTTTAAAAAAATCAGTGTTGTTTGTGGAAGGAAATGGTAAGGGAATTGATAACAGATAGGAGGGACTTTTTAGAGTGATGGAAATATTCTGTATTTTGTTTGTCGTACATAGAACTATATATTTAAAATTAGAGTGAATTTTACTGTATGTATATTAATACCTCAAAACTGATTTAGCTGGCAACCTTTTTAAAATATGTAGTGTTTAAGTAGAAAGAATGACAGTATTTTAATATATGGACTCAGGCAAAAGATCTTCAATGGATATTAAAATCACAAATGAAATATTGTAAAACAATATATTAACATGACCCCCACAGATTATTACTAATTTTTTTTTTTTTAAGATTTACTTATTTGTGCATACAGAACTGGGGTACAGGCCAGAGGCTCAGGGGCGGTGAGAGGCCTCACCAGAGACAGAGTGGGGAGCAGAACAGGCAGATCGACGAAGCACACTGCTGAGGGGAGCAGCGGGCAGGTCAGGAGAGGTCTGCCACGCCATGTGGTCACCTCCGGGGCAGGCGGGAATCGAACTCATGGAAGCGGCTTTAAATTCTCAGTGCTGTGCTTTAACCCGCTGCGCCACCAGGGAGGGCCAGATTATTACTAATTTTTATAGTTTGAAGATATCTAATGGTCACCACTTTATTTAAATAAGCAGAGAAATCTTGCATCACGGATGTGGTGAGAACTGGACATTTTGTATCTCCTGTCTTAGATAATATGTGCAGCAGCAACAAATACAAGCTATTTTTGTCAAAAAAACACTAAACTTGGATCAAATCAATATTTTTTTATTTATTTATTTTTTTAAAGATTTATTTATTTATGGATACAGAACTGGGTAGAGGCCAGAGGTGCAGGGATGGTGAGAGGATTCACCACACACAGAGAGTGGGGAGCAGAACAGGAGATAGATGAAGTACACTGCTGAGGGGGGCAGCGGGCGGGTCAGGAGAGGTCTGCCATGCCATGTGGATCACCTCCGGGGCAGGTGGGGATCGAACTCATGGGGAAGTGGCTTTAGCTTCTTAGTGCAGTGCTTTAACCCGCTGCGCCTCGAAGGAGGGCCCCCAAATCAATATTTTTAAGCCCAACTTGCACATTACAGGGAATATAGGCAATAAAGCTAGATATTAATAAAGATAAATTATACCACAAGTAAATGAGACAAATCCATTAAAAAGTGGGATGTTCTCTGAAACAACTGCTGGTATTTTCAAAAACAGTGTAATATAGGATGATAAAAGAGAGACCCTTTTATATCAAAAGACAGATAATCAAATAGCACTTGAGTACTGAGCTAAGCCTCATTTGAGGGAGAGGAGAGTTCTAAAAAAGAATTTGGGGAGCAGTTGAGAAAATTTCAGTTTAGACTGGCAATATTCAACAATAGTAGGAAGTTATTTTTTTCTTCTTAGGTGTGGTGATGGTATTATTGAGTAGAAAATATTTCTAAGATATACATGTGTGTTCTGTTGATTTCTGCAACTTAAATGTATACACAAAAGCAAATAGGTGAAATTTTAATTTCATGTTAATTGTGTATGTGGTGTGCTTTGGTATTATCGTTTTAAATTTTTTACATGTTTGAAATTTTTCGTAATAGATGGGGGAGTTTTTAAAGTTCAGTTGAGAAAAGTAGTATTTGTAGAAGATATCTTATGGAATGTTTTGCATTCCTATAGATCCTGTGAATGCCAGGCTTCTGTACCTATGTTGCAGCAGCAAGAATTTTACCATGCTGGGTTTTAGTATTATATAAAAGCAGTGTACTTTGAGAACAGCCCTGTAAAATTTTTTCTATTGTCAGGATGTTTTTGAGAGCATTGCTTATTGTATCACATGGTGTTCTTTTTGGAAAAGATGAAGCTTTGGGTTTTCATAGCAATAATACTGCTTCTGGGAAACTGGATATCTGGCATGTTACAGACATTGCATCAAGTAGAGGAGCGGAGCTTACATTTAACTGTGTGCCAGATAGAAAGTTCAAGTCTCATTTATTTCTAGCAAATGTATTCCCCAGCTGCACTCCTGACTTTGTAATTCTCTGCACTTAGCTTCATTTCCCCCTTTCTGATTCCCTATCTATTTTTCTGATTTATTTTACAATATACTTTGTGATTTAAAAGTCACAACCTGACTTTCACATTATCATAATTAGTCATATAAGTTCTTGCTCCCAACTCTAGAGATCCTTTATCTTCTAGACAAATTTAGAGTAAAGAGTGTTACCAGATAGTTCAAATATATGTTCTTTTGAATGTGATTGAACACGTGATTTAAAAGTCCTATTTTCTGAAGTGGCACTGTTGTAGCTATATTAGTGTCAGACACCTTATTTTGAGGGGGGAGGATTAATATAAGGAAAAGAACTAGGCCATTTTATGGAAATGCATTTTTAGAAGCAATTAGAATTGCTGTTTTTCTTGAAAATTTCATTGGTTAATTCTGCTTTTTTTTCAATCAATGAAGGGAAGTAAAATAGACCATTCTTTTACCTTTCACATTTATGAAAAAATATTTGTTGTACAAAATAATTCTAATGAGGGATTGCCTAATTGCTTTTGAGTAATATTCCTTTTTCTCCCATCAATAGCATCTTCCTTCTGTAAACACTGTCATTTATAAAATATTTTCAGATTCAGCATATTGATATACTATTCTAATTATAATTTGCTCTTTCTACCTTCTTGGAAGTTGAAGTCCTTACCTAATTTCTTTTTGGAATTTCCCTTATTATATTACCACAACTGCATTATCTGACAATAGAATGTTTGAAGCAGGGATAGATAGCACTCTAAAATAAGACTTATGAATTAGTGATAGCTTAGACATTATGTCTGTACTAATGTACAGTAGGAATGTGTTTTGATATACCTTGAATTTACTTTAACTTTCGAAACAAGTGTTTACTGGATACATAAGGTTTTCTTCTTTGGGTAAGATTTGTAGGTTTGTTGGAATCTTCCACTGATTATGGGTTTTCTTTTAGTGATCTGAAAAGTAGCTTGTTAAATGAAATTGTTAAATGCTTTTGTATTTGCAAAGCTTTGATTTTATATTTCAACATGCTTCATTTATAATCTTAATAACCTATGGTCTTCTACTATAAGGGAGATGCTGAAACTGCCAAAAACAGGGTTAATTGTAAACACAGATGTGAGTAAGGTAAGATTGCCTTCTTTTTTGCCCCAGGCTGAATGGTTCCTAGAATCAGGATTTAGTTTTTGTTGCTCACACCTCTGGAATTCACTTTTTCTCATCTGCCAAAAATACTGGAAAACAAGGTGCACAGTTTTTCTTTCTTTCTGCGCCTGTTTTAAAGTGAAAGTACTTTTGATTCTCATTTTTACTTTCATTCATTATTTAATATATGGAAATCAAGTTTAATTTTGTAGTAGTGGCTGCTAGTCATGTGAACTCTGTACAACATCTCCATTTATACTGCTTCACACATCACTCACAGGACAAGTTCTCACAAAGACCTGTTTTGTTCTATTGTAGATCCACCCTAAAGAAACCAGTTTTCAAACTATGCAGGGCTTTGTAAATCAAGATGAACTGGTCAGAAATTGGATACAGAAACATAAAAAACCAAATAATACTTCCTAGTTAACAAGCAGTGTGTGTTATATGTAATAAAATTGCAGCTCAAGAACTGTTCTGCATTCTAAGAATATTCTAATTACAAAGTTTATATCACATTCATATTGTAATCATCAAGTCAATAGTTTGTTCCCTCTTTTGTTGAGATAGGAAAATATAAGTGAGGCTTTTCTATGATATTCTAGGCAACAGAGGGCAATGAGAACAAGTAATGAGTTGTGAGCTTTAGGTCTGAGTGTATCTTAGAATACTGAGCGTGATAACTAAGTACCAAGGTCGAGAAGAGTAGCTTAGATGTAGCACAGATTTTCTTTTTTCTGGCCATAGTTAAAGGATAGAGTGTATGCAGGATTTATTTTCCCAGGGATTCTCCATCTAGGACAGGAAGAAAAGAACACCCATACACAATTCACAAGTAGCTGAATGTTTTTCACCACAGTTAAACTCAAGTGTAATGTATTCACAATTTAGTTTATGAGTTTTAGAAATATCCTTGAAATATTTTCTCTTTGAATAAATGTCTCATGAAATTATTTTACCTCCTTGTTTAGAAATTTAAATAATATCAAGTATTGTTCAAAAGTTTTTTCTTCTTTCAGATGATCTCTAAACATTGTGCTTTTAAACTTAGTATCAAATAGCCTTCTAAAGAATCTGCAAATACTTTTCTTTCTCCCCTTGAGAAATTTAAAAAAGGAAGCAAAGAAAAATTAAAATGCCCTGTACATATTATACCCATTGTGCCCATTAATTAATATTTTTTTAAAACTTAAATTTCTCATGTGCCTTTTCCCTTTGTTTTTCTGTTTTTAAGAAAATCAATGCAAAACTTCATGATGGAGTATGTCAGCACTGTAAAGAAGTTCTTGAATGGCGTGTGAAATACAGCAAATACAAATTATTATCACAGCCTAAAAAATGGTAAGTTTATTTACTTCATCACCTGATATATGTAATATATGCTTTATTGTTTATTGTTTCAGTCCCTTTTTCAAAATTGTGTCCACATATTGAGATAAAGAAAAAATTCTGTTCTTCTAAGTAAAATTTCATTTTATACACTGATTTATGGTTTATGAAAGCAAAAAGTCTGAAAAAGTAGATTCACATTCCCTGCCCCATTATTCCGTGAACAAATAATGTATCATTTTTACAGAGATAAAGTTTAAGGCAGAGGAGAGAAAGGTTTTTTTTGCAAAATTTTGTCTTCCACTGGTGAGGTAACTATATTCTCTGTAGATTATCACTCCCAAAGTGATCTTAAAGAAGTCTGACCTTCCAGTTAAACTCATGAAGATTACTGAAATGGCTTTCATTGAATAGCACACATAAATTGCTAGATTGATAACTTATAATTTCATTTTTACTAAGATTTGAATCCAAAAGGAAAGATACTTGATTTTCTTCTTTGTCACTCTGTCCCTCATCCTTTTATAATTCTGGGCATAGCCTATAGCTGTGCCCTTATATCCTTTAGCTTAACTGAGAAAGAGACATATTGGAGATAGTTGCTACCTAAAAGATAAAAGTGATTCTTTTTTCAATGAGTATACAAATTAGCATTTTTTATGTGATAGTATTCTTACATTATGAGTTTTTACTTGGTATGCTGTATTATAGCTATTTAGAACATATGGATTCATTGCTGCTTTAATTTCCCTTTAGCTATTTAGTTGTGACATCTTCCATAAATGTGTTCTCCTTTTAGTGGAGGAAACTTTACTTAAAGTTTGGATCATCAATCTAAATACTAAATATGAAATATAATGCTTGCCAGTACTTTTATTGAAAAATTATGTCAGCCTTTTTATGAATTGGTAAACCCAGCTTTGGGGTAAATTTGTTTACTTGAGATTGTTTAACAGATACGAATGTTTTAATTTGGACAGTTTATTTTGCCTAAAACATTTGTTTTTACAATCCTCAACTAAGGATAGATTAACTTTAGCTATTTTTTCCCCCTGAATTACTCTGTCAGAGCAGAAATTTTATTATTTTTATATGAATTGTTGTCCCTCCTTTTAGTAGATTTACAGATTTCTCTCTCCTATCTTTTACTATTTCCTTTGTGTTCTCTAAGGTTTTCTCCCAAAAGAAAACACTTTTAAACAAAGCTGATGGGATCTACGCACATGGGCCAAGTTAACAATAGGGAGATTTGGCGGCAGGTTGTGTTATCCAGGACTAGATTTCCATGAGTGAAGTAACTGGACTTTCTACGTTAGAAATTAGATGCTGGTTATTCTATGAATTTTGTAGTTTTAACTAATAGTCCTAATATACGATTTGTAGATTTCTGAATATTTCCAACACATCTTTCCATAAAGGTATTTTGAGATTTCATCACCAATCTCCATTTTTCTCTTGGCAACACTATGTCCTAAAACATTTTGAATTATATTAATAGAATATCTAAACATTTATAGAGTTTTAATATTAGTCTTATAGCAAAAAAATTCACTTAAAACTTTCCTGTCTTAATCATTATTTGCATTTTAATCTCTTATCTCTTAGCTAATACACACCTTCTTTTCTGCATCCTTTGTTATGAATGTGTCCCTATGTAAAAATTATATCAATTATAGTTCTTTTGCATGCTATGATTTGGTGTAGGATTTCTGAACTTATTTATTTTAGACAGTTCCTGAATTTTCCTTTTTATTTATTGCTTATGGTCTTAATATCACTGGTTCTAGAAGAATGTATGTGCTTTAAATCCTAGAACAAATATTTTCCTCAGAAGGTAGCACAGACTCAGTTTTAAACAAAAGTAAAAGGAAACAGTGTTAGTAATAAATCTTATATTTAGTTCCAGAAAACTTAAAACACAACAGCCTTTAAGAATGTAGACACAAGGACCCAAAGATCAGCAAGTCTGTCCTGCTTTATATAAGTCACTGAAGACCTTGGGGTCTGGTATGTTATGGTCATGTTGCCACTACCTCAGGGCTCACTCTAGTTACCTAGAGGCCTTAGAGAGCTCAGTTGGGTCAAGGAGATGAGAGCTATGGAGGACCTCAGGGATTGTTGCTCCACATCTCCCTGAGACATGGGCTCACCATAAAATAGTTGCAGGCATAAAAAATGTTCATAATGAATGTAAAATGGAAGAAATATAATATCGTACAAATACTAAATATTAAAGAAAGGTCTCTGAATAAAGTAGCTCAAGTTAATACAAAACAAATGGCAACTCATGTGAGATTAAGAAACTACTAGTCAGTACGAGGTTTGAACATTTTTACTTATAAGGCTACTTCTTTGGCCGAACATGTGTCCTTTTAGTCATTTTGGAAAGCCCAGCTTTCAAACTCTAATCCAGGACTAAGAGTGTTGTAGACAGTCTAACTCACCTATAACCACATTGTTTTTTCTGCATATTAAGTCCTAATGTTGTAAGGGATTTAAACCCAATAAGGAAAGATGCTGATGGTAACATAGCTTAGTTTGACATATTAAATATTTTGTTAGTTAATTATAAATTAAACATGTCCCTTATTAGGACTTTTTATAAGCAGTTTACTTTGACACCAGATGTTTCTTTGTGTAAAGATTCATGTTTCTAACACCCTGGTTATTGTCCTAGGTTAAAATGTTGAATATTGTATCACTTGCTTACCTATCTCATGCCACAAATTATGTAGGATGAAAAAGGACTGTTAGTAATATTTTTTAAATAAAGTAATATGCAGACATTGGGGAAATTAAAACCCTTTTCTGCCTTTCTTTGACTTATAAATGAGCAAATGACACACCCTTAGCACATTTCTCTGGCTTCTGGAATATAATACTAAACTTTAGATCCAAGAAAAAGAATTTGACTTCTAAACTCTTCAGATATACCTATTTAAGATGCAAAAAGCATATTGTATTCATGGATGTCAGAAAAGACTTCATTTTTCTCCTTTTCCTATTGCAATGAGGTGACATGCTGTACAATTTTTACAAGCTTGTTTTTATGACAGTTTCTTACACTGGGCCATCCCCAGAGACTTAAGAGAATATATATGTCCTACCTTGAGTTGGAAATGGAAAATCAAAAGCTATGTATTTGCCTGAGGGGAATGGGATGATAACATTGAGAGAGAGACAGATAAAAGTTTACCTGTCTCATATTAGAGCTGTGTAAAGAATGCTGCTTCCCATCTTCACTTGATAAGGTAATGTTAAATATCATTAAATGCTCAGTTTACAGTTTACCTTATCTGTCATATACCATGATTAGCCAGCACCCTTGTTTTATACTCTGCCTCTCAATCAAGTCAGCTAAATTTGTACCAGGATACCAAGATTCCCCATCTATTTTTGTTCATGTGTGAAATGCAAGTACTTGCTACTCCCTGGTAGAAGACTGCCATGGCACAACCAGACTCTTGGTACCCAAGTGGTATAATGTCATTATCAGACATTGAGATTACTGATACTTATTAAGAACTGTGGTTCATGAAAAATCTAAATCTGTATGTATTAAACCTAATTTTTCAAGTGCCTTGTTTTTGACATTGAAAAAGAAACCCAAAGGTAAATTTAGATCATTCATTACTGTTTCTGGTAGTATGAAGTTATTCATAAACATAGAAAATAATCTCAAGTTATCAAGTGGGAATTATTAGAAAAGTATGAGATCTTATATATATAAAATGATTTATATGACTCTTGATGAAAGAAAATGTGTTATTTTTTTACTTAAGACACACCTATAGACATTTACATTATTTTGCAGGTACTAGAAACACAGAGTGTTAAAGGACTGTCCCCTTCCTCTAGAAATGCAAGACAAGAAATAAAATGGATTCTTTATTCTGGTCTCAGAGGATTGAATGTCTTTACCCAAGATCAGACAGTACAGCAGTTGGAGTTAAGATTCAAATGCAAATTGATCTCATGTTTTCCTACTTTCCCACAGTGATTTCTCAGTATTGTGCTATTCATTCAAAGATTCCTTTTTCTTCTTTCACCTGAGCTTAATAATATATTTTATAAAAGGACCCCATCTTGTTCATGGAAACTCTCTACTGCTGAGTAGAGTGCCACATAAAATATCCCTGCTTATTATAAATTTTTAGCTGAACAAATGCCTTACTTGCAAGTTATGAAATGCCTAATTTATTACCTGAAAACTTCTTTAGGTCTTAAGTTTCAGTTGACCAAACAACCTATTTCTATTAATTTGCAGCATGAGAGGCAAATAGTCCCATTGGAGTTAGAATCTTTAGACTGCTTCTATTTCTTCCTATCCATAAAAAAAAAATCACTAATAAGACAGTTTTAACATTCCTATAGTAGTAGAGAAGAGGGGAGAATCTGAAATTGCAGTAAACTTACCGACTAAATCCAAAGCTTACTTAAGAGTCCATTTACTACAACAGGTCAAAACAGAACCGCCCTGAGTAGGGAGAAGGGAATTCAGACCTTAAAGGAAGGTTTTGCAAGTAAAAGAGGGGGGTACTGGTGCAGTGTGTCTTGGAACCAGCATTGCTCTAGGGATATCTGGCCTACCAGTTTCTACAGTTTAATGACAAGTGTGTGCCCTTTGCCTAGAACACTTTCCCTTTCAGTAAATCTCTTGATTACCTAAGTCATTCCCTCTGGGCCTCACATCCAAATATTTAATGTCTCCTAATTGCTAATTTTTAATTTATTACCCCTCAATTTTTATACCTGCCAACTATCCCAATACAACCCTAAAGAATAAATCTCTTATCTTACCTACCACTACTCAGAACCTTCATTGGTATAGCATTGAATAAATTAGTGGCTTAAAAGACTTTTTTTACCTAAATGTTTTAAGAACTCTTATAGGGAAGAGTTGGGTTTCTAGCAACAGAAGGCTAAGTAGGGGTGGGGATGGAAATGGGGGGATGTTTTTTATACTGAAAGAGAAGAATAAAAGTAATATATTGGTTTGCTCATTTTAGTTT